TCGACGATGAGATCAGAAGGGTACGAGAGAGGTACCACGATTCCTTGAGACCTATGAGAAGCCGCAAAATTGGGAATCATGGCTCAGCGAATACGACAAGCTGCAACTCGCGCCGAAGCCCTAAAGATAGGGGACGTGATACAAAGCAAGCTGGTTGTGGACGACTTCCTAAAAGCAGTCTCTAAGATTGCCCCAGCATGGATGGCAACATTCACTGGAGCGGGAAGCGACCGGAACAATATAGAAAGAAGGCAGATGATGAAACTCTTCCGCGAACATATGAGCCTAGCTCACCCAACACGAGGCAAATCAAGAAGTGCCTTTATGACGGGTGAAGCAGCCTACGCGGCGAGCGGTGAATCCGACTCGAACACACAGGGGGACGCCTCAAGTGTGCAAATTAGAGCGCCATCTACCAACCCTAGCCAGGGAAACCAAAGGCAAACAAACAAACGCAAAATGAATGCACCTGGCAACAAGTCCAAGCAATTCCAGAAAAGGAATACAGCAGAAGCTGGCGATATATGTCCTGCTTGTGAACAACGCCATGACATCAGTAGCTGCTACTATGTCAACCCAACTTTGGAGACCCCAGATTGGTTCAAACCGAACAAACACATCACAAAGCTGGTACAGTACAAACTTCAGCATGATGCAGACTTACAAAGAATAATACAGGAAACAAACCTGGAAACGAAGCGACCACGCCTAACTACGGCATCACGATCGATTACACCCTACATCAAGACATCACAAACACCGGACTCAGTCACTGATTGACTAGATGGACGCGAGATCTCGAGGCTGGACGAGGGCATGATGAAAGCGGCATTCAATGCGAGCAATCAAGGATACCCATTAAAGGATGCATTCATCCTGGATTCTGGCTCGACGACGCACATCTGCAACAACCTCTCAAGGCTCGAAGACGTACGCCCGCCTGCGATGGGAGATTACATTTGGGCTGGCAACTCAAGGGTTTGGATACAAGGATACGGAGCAGTCAAGGTGACGGCAGAGGGGGCTCAGGGCAAACAAATTCTACACCTAAGCAATGTTGCCTGGTGCCCAGACTTCCTCTGCAGCCTCGTATCATTCAGGCTGCTCCGAAGACAAGGTATATGGTGGGACAATCGAGGAGACCCGACAAGCCTACGACGATGGGATGGTTCAACCATTGCCACCTTATCGGAACACTATGGGCAATGGGTTATCGAGCCACCTACTACATCAACTTCAGCCTTTCATGTGCGTATGAATCGAGCCAAACGATCACCACAAAAGGCTACTGCCATACTATGGCACAAACGACTCGGACATCCCGGGCCATCCGCGATCGAGCACCTCGTGCAGCAATCTGAGGGGGTGAGGATCAAGGGCATCACCACCGTGGAGTGTGACGCCTGCGGCAGGTCAAAATCGAAACGACAAATACGCAGGACGCCTAGACTGAACGACGAAGGGCCAGGTGAAAGGGTAGCCATCGACTTCCATGAGTATGAGGACGGCAGTTTCACCAAGGAGAAGAGCCAAATGCTGATCACTTGCCGACGGTCCCGATACACATGGGACTTCTACTTCAAGGACAACAGACCGGCTCGCTCAATCATTCGCCTCCTAGGCCTCTTCGTCCAGTTCATGAAGAAACAATTCAACATCACAGTCAAAGTCATCGAGACTGACAACGAGATCGTTACCGTCAAACAAGAGGTCGAAAAATGGTGCACGTCCCTATCAATCAAACTCGAGCCCTCCGCTCCAGATACTCAAGCTCAAAACGGAGGAGCTGAGCGCTCAGGGGGTGTTATAAAAGAAAAGGCACGCGCAATTCGACTGGATGCAAACCTTCCATGGGAACTCTGGCCAGAAACTACCAGAGCGGCGGTATACCTATACAATCGAACGCCAAATTACCCAAACAATTGGAAGACACCATACGAAATATTCTATACACACGCAGCTGCCATGAACGGCATAGTCACCGGACCTCGAAAACCAAATCAAGCTCACCTAAAAGCATATGGGTGTAAGGCTTTCGCAATGACAGACGACACCCACAGAGGAAAGTCCAGGCTACAGAGACTAGATCCGAAGGCCTGGATTGGATACCTAGTGGGATACCAGTCGACGAACATTTACCGCATATGGATCCCATCTATGGCAAAGGTAATCAGCACTCGCGACGTAGTGTTTGACGAAGAAACAATCTTCAATGGCAAGACTGAGGACCTGATGGACAATCTCATGCACAACACCCTAGAGGAAATCGCAACGTGGGTGAGAACAGTCGAACTCCCAGGTACTCAGAGCCAACAAGCAGAAACCGAGACGTTCTACGAGGACGATACGACGCAGGAAGAGAGCCCGCGCACTCAGAAAACCAGATACCACCAAGGAAGGAAGGTGGTAGAGGCATATCTAACCCCGCCACCAACTCCTCCACCTGTGGCCTTGCTAGTTCAAGGAGAGGTGAACAACGAGGATATGACGAACATGTCCAACCAATCAACATCAATGACCAGTCCATGGGCAGCCGCATTCATGGCCGGCACCGAATCAGGACACATTGGTCAACACGAAGGAAAGTCAATCGACAAGGCTCAGGTGAAGAGACTACTATCCAAGGGAATCAAGCCCCATCGTAACCAGCTACCGCCACTCCCAACAGCATACTCAAAGCTGGAAGACCATCCACTATACGAAATGTTCAAGGAAGCAGAAAAGACACACCTTCGGAGTCACCAACAAATGAAGTCATGGACTGAGGTCCAAGCATCACCAGTCAAACGAGCAGGGCACCAGATCCTAGACTGTATGTGGGTATACACCTACAAACTCGACAAGCATCACCGCCTCATCAAATGCAAGGCAAGATTGGTAGTAAGGGGAGACCAACAACGCAACATCACCTCCCAAGACACATACGCAGCAACATTGGCAGGACGCTCATTCAGAATGCTTATGGCAATCGCCGCCAAATACGATCTTGAGCTGAAACAATACGACGTCACTAATGCTTTTGTGCATGCTGCAATCGACAGAGAAATATACATGAGGATGCCAAAAGGATATCAGAAGCCTGGCACTCTACTCAAAGTGCAAAAGGCACTCTACGGGCTCCGGATCTCACCATTACTGTGGCAGAAAGAATTCACCGCAACTCTTGCTTCGATAGGGTTTCAACAAATACCACAGGAGCCATGCTGCATGATCAAAGACGGAGTTATCATCTTCTTCTATGTGGACGACATCATCGTTGCGTACCGTTCAAAGCAAGAATCAGAGGCCATGAAGGCCATCAACTGGATCCAAGAAAAATACGCTTGTACGGGAGGAGACAACTTACAGTGGTTTCTCGGTGTAGAGGTTATGCGCAATCGCAAGCAGAAGACCATACAGCTATCTCAAGCTGCATACGTCGACAAAATCAGTCAACTCATCAACCACCAAAATGTAAGGCATGATACGCCAATGTCAGGCATCGAACTCCGACCACGAGAAGGACTCGCAGCACCAGCTGAAGTCAACAAGTACCAACGCAAGATTGGATCGCTTCTATTCGCTGCAGTCACAACAAGACCCGACATAGCCTTTGCAACATCACGACTTGCTCGCTTCCTAATCAATCCAAGTACAGAACACCAAGACGCTGCAGACCGTGTGCTCCTGTATCTCAAGAAAACAGAATCCCTAGCCCTCGAACTCGGTAGAGGCGATGGCCTCGAGGTAGCAAGTGACGCGTCGTTTGCAGACAACACACTGGACAGGAAAAGCTCGCAGGGATACGCAATCAAGCTGTTCGGAGGACTTATCGCTTAGAGATCAAGTAAGCAAGATACTGTGACAACATCAACAACAGAAGCAGAGCTGCTTGCCCTATCACAAGTTGCTAAGGAGGCAATCTTTACGTCGCGGTTGTTGAAGGAGCTTCAGGTAAACCTAAGCAATCCAATTATCACAATCAAGTGCGACAATACCCAGACAATCCGTCTAGTAAATGAAGACGTTGCCAAATTGCAAACAAAGCTTCGGCACGTTGACATACACAATCATTGGCTACGACAAGAAGTTACCCGAAAGACGATCAAGGTAGAGTATGTTCCGTCTGACAACATGATCGCAGACGGATTCACCAAGTCACTGCCAGCCAACAAATGGGCCAGTTTCCTTGATTAGTTAGGACTTGTTAAACGCAAAGAATCCCCGTTGAAAGAAGCTAAGCTTAAGAAGTTGCAGGAGCATCTGGAAGGCCTCTATATGTAGGATCGATTAACCAGTTTACGCAGCTTGCAATTAGGGCTTCCAAGCTGAGGGGGTGTGTCAGATAGCAGGGTTACTCGACGTTGGCAGCAACCAATCAGCGTAGAGAGGATCAGTGCGCCCCTCAAGAGGGCCACAAGCGCGGACACACGATAGAAAGAACACAATACAGACAATCATCAACATCGATCAATTTTGTGCAATATCTCATTATATCTGACAAGACGCTGGGTTAGACTAGCGCGACCTGGCATCTGTGAGAGCCAATCGGATCACAGGAAGGCTTGGCACCCCCCCAGGTGTGCCCACAACCGTAGACAGAACCAACACACAATCAATCATCAACATCATCACCATTATTACCTATTTCATCAGTATTCCAGATGAGAGTGAATATCTGACAATAGCAATCGCGTCTGGGTCTTTTTTGAAGTCCTCTAGCAGGTAAGTTTCTGCTGCTAGTGCTCTAGCTATATAGAACAGAACTCTAGGGCGGATCGATTGGTACTAAACCAGCTAGTTTAGATAGATAAAGGAGACCTACGCTAGCATGCTGCCAGTCTCAAGCGCATAGGTGGAAAAGACACTTGCAAAAAGATTACAGCCGGCCTGCACAGCAGTATCACCCCCATCATGCACAGCATCCCACCGCAGGCCAGCGGCACTAGTTGTGTAACACAACTTGTGTTGATGGACCTGTTGTGAAGGACTGTATTACCGCCACACAAAACTTCATTACCGAGCCACACAAAACAACTCTTTCCTATGCACTTCCATGTCCTCTCTACCGAAGCAGCTGCTATAAAGTGTGCAGCACATCTCTACTCAACATCTACGCCTACGCGCCGCGCACTACTGATTGCAATTCGAATCGTAACAAATGTACACGCGCAAGACGGCAGAGTAGTTGTGTGTGGCCTAGGCAAGAGTGGGCACGTTGGACGCAAGCTAGCTGGGACACCCAAAAGCCTAGGCGTGAGCGCTGGGTTTCTGCACGCCGCCCAAGCGGTACATGGCGACCTTGGCGATGTACGAGGAGCTGATTTGCTGTTGTTTGTAAGCTTTAGTGGACGTGCTAGAGAACTTCTTAACGTGTTGCCACATGTTGCGCCCAAAGTGCCGGTGATAGTGTTAACAGGACATGCAGATGCGAGTACATGCCCATTGTTGAAGGGGCGAAAGGTGGTCGGTAGTAATGAAGGGAGAAGAGGAGGAGGAGAAGGAGAGGAGGGTTGGGATGGTCGAGGCGTCGGGGTGCTCTTGCCTACACCGATACACGAGAGCGAGGAGGAGAGTTTTAGTGTCGGAGCGCCAACCACCAGTGCTACTGTGGCTATGGCAATCGGAGATATGCTTGCTCTTACGGTTACCAAAAGGATATACGGCGCCGAAAAAGCTTGGATATTCAACAGAAATCATCCAGGAGGCGCCATTGGCGCTGAAACCGTAGCTGAGGTTGCGGGGGTAGCAGGAGCGACAGTCGCTACTATGGCTAGGCTCTGGGTGGTGGACCGTGAACATGATGAAAGCTAAGTTAGGAGAGTGTGAATCATAATCTATAAAGCAATCCAAGACAGGAACGGTGTTGTGTGGTGTGTTAGTCTGAAGGGGGCTGTCTAACTATCTACGTTGTGGTCTTTTTGTTAGTCGTTAACGGTTGCACTTTTTTCTATTTTCTCTTGGTACCAAAACCCCATCAAACCGTAAAGCTTGCAAGGCGATACCGCATCTAAATGACTTGTACATAGCCTATCTGTCATCTAAAGCGCTCCAAGGATCGCAATTTTACGTCCTAGCACTAGTCATAGAAATTTCAGCAAGCCCTGCAATAGTACATATAAGTTTTTCATCGCTGGGCACCATAAGAGCCAAATCGCGAGATATCACTCATCAGACGTCATTCATCACCCATGTCTACCAGAGGCACATATCCACCATCTCTCCTACTCTTCCTCCCAGCAGCAATTACCTCTTTGACCCAATGAATGCAGGTTCTGATTGCGTTTTCGTCGCTCTGTTTCCCAGATTTCTTTCTGTTCTCTAGAGCCGGAGCACTGGGGTCCAAGGCAGAGACGGTGAGCCATTTGGGCGTACGCCACAAGTTCAGGCACAGACTACTCGCTACGACAGAAACCGAAGAGCATGCCATAGCGGCGCTAGCAGCTACGGGGTGCAGGAACAGCCCCCACGGCAAGAAGAAGCCCATGGCAAACGGAAGTCCGATGAGATTGTACATGCATGCCCAGAGAAGATTCATCTTGATACGGTTGAAAATAGCCTTGCTAAGAAGCAGACTGGTGGGAATGGCAAGAAGGTCTGTCAAGGGCAATAGAACAATCGACGCAGCCTCCATCGCCACGTCTGTGCCAGTCGATAGAGCGATGCCAATATTGGCAGACGCGAGAGCGGGGGAATCGTTGATGCCATCACCAACCATGGCGACCACATAGCCGCGAGACTGGAGATCTGCAATGATGTCACTCTTTTCGGATGGCGTAGCCGAAGCATGCACATCAGCAGACCCCACCCCAACCTGGGACGCAACAACCATGGCAGAAGAAGCAGTGTCTCCGGTAACTATAGAGGCAGTCACTCCCATTCTTCGGAGAGCAAGTACAGTCGCACGAGCTGAAGGTTTGATGGTATCGGAGAGCCCGAGAGTTCCGGAATAGGCCTGTCCGATGGCAATGTGAATGGTCGTGATGCCCGCGGAACATGCACCACCCCCAGGTTCATCACGAAGTGCAGGAGATGTAAATGGCTTCGCGACACTATCGGGAACATCGACGCCTTCAGACATGAGATAGGCAGGATTTCCAATTAAAACACGATACCGCTGCCATTTGTGGGAGAGCGCGGCCTCGACGGTGGCCGCAATGCCTTTTCCTGCAACAACCTCAAAGTCACTCACCGAGCCGTCCAGTGTACCTTCTGGGCCAACTCGCAAGTGCTCTTTTGCTGAAGCAACCACAGCCCTCGCAATCGGGTGTTCGGAGCCCATTTCGGCCAGGCCGATGAGAGTCCACCAGAGGTCCCTTGTGTACCCGGCCTGAGCCCATTTGCCCTGCAGGCCAGCTTTCGATACACGCATCTCTCCGGCCGTAAGCGTGCCAGTCTTGTCGAAGACAACATGGTTAATTTTGGTGGCGGTCTCCAACGCAGCACCGCCCTTTACCAAGATCCCCTGCTTGGCTCCGACGCCCGTGCCAACCATGACTGCGGTAGGAGTAGCCAGGCCAAGTGCACACGGGCAAGCAAAAACAATGACAGCAATACAGAGCTTGACACAGACCATGAGCTTTCCGCCGCTGGTGGGGTCGAGGAACAGCTTAGGTGGGTGTTGGAGAACATGGCTGAGAACCATCCAAACAACGAATGTTGCGAGGCCAAGGAAGAGAATGATAGGAACAAAATAGCCAGCAACAGTGTCCGCAAGGCGCTGGATGGGGGCGCGACTCGTTTGAGCCTCCTGTACCAGGCGGACGATCTGGCTGAGTTGGGTATCGCGACCAGCACATGCCACGGTAAAATCCAGTCGGCCAGCACCGTTGACCGTGCCCGCCATCACAAAATCGCCTTTGCGCTTGAGAGCAGGCGTAGCCTCACCAGTCACCATGCCCTCGTCCACATAAGATTCGCCACGCGCGACAAAACCATCCGCGGGGATTCGGTCTCCCGGTCGAAGGACTACCATATCGCCGGCCTCAACGAGCTCGGTGGCAATCACCCTTTCTCGGGCAGCATCGGCTCCTGTCGAACCCCACTCGTCCTTCTCCTCCATAGTATTCCATCCCTCTGCCGCTTTTGCGGCAGCAACAGGATCGGCGTAGATGGTGGTCGTGGATGGTGCCAGCGACATGAGGTTCGACAGGGCCTTAGATGTCTGCCCCTTGGCCGAGTTCTCCAAGTACCGTCCCAAAGAGATGAAGGTAATTAACATGGTGCTGGTGTCAAATAACGTAGCTGGCCTAGAGTGGGGCGGTATGCATATCGATACCAACATCGACCCAACGCTGAAGAAAAAGGCAGAAGAGGTACCGAGAACAACAAGGACATCCATCGTCGCCGATCTGTGTCTCAGAGACTTGTAAGCCGATACGTAAAAACGGCTGCCAATGCCAAACTGCACGGGGATCGTAAGAGCCAGGCAGACAACGTCCCCTAGGTAAAAGCCAGGCAGGATGCGAAAGCTTCCGTAATCCAAGATGGGAAGGGCCATCGGGAAGACCATGCTGGTGAGGAATATAGGAAAAGCAAAGCTGGCCGAGAAGAAGACGGCATACTTCCATCTCTTGATCTCTTTTGTCTTCACTAACGACTCTAGCTGGGCATTGTTATCGTCCGGGTCAGAAACAAGCGCATTGTATCCGGCTGCCTCAATGGCTTCTACAATCGACCGAAGGCGTATGACCCGCTGTTCTCGGCAGATGGTGGCCTTTGAGACGGTGAAATCGATAGTCGCAGCTGTTATCCCAGGTTGCTCCCGCAGAAGGGCCTCCAGCCTGCTAGCTGAGAGGGTATCTGGTAGTCCATAAATGTTGAGGTGCACTATGTTGCTGCCTAGCGATATTCGCTTCGCAGCGCTATCAACTGATGATACGACCTTCGCATCAAAGCCGCGGTCTTCTATCGTCTCCACAATTTGATCCGTGGAGAGCTTGGACGGGTTGTGCACGACTACGACGCGGCTGGCGAGCAAGCTGATGTTGAACTGGTACACGCCTTCGAGATTCTTGAATCCGCCCTCAATGGTAGATGTGCAGGCTCCACAGGTCATGCCGTAGACCGCGACGGTAGTGGTTGACAACTCAATCTTACTGTTGCTCGTGCTGATTCCCGCCTGGGGGCCAGCAGCTACAGTCTCCAGAACAACCGCATCGAACCCAACATCCTGTATCGTCTCAGCCAACTTTTCCGACGGTATGATTTTAGGATTGTGCTCAATGACAGCTCGCTCGGATAGTACAGAGATGCTGAAAAGTCCGATTCCCGCAACATCTTTGAACGCGCCTTCGACCGCGGACGTGCAAGCACCGCAGGTCATGCCTTCTATCTTGAGCGTTGTCGTGGTCATATGGGCCTTTATGCCGTTAGCGATAGTTGGCTGAGAAACCATCTTGTGTACGCATCCGAAAAGATATTTTGGCAGAAAAGTTTTAAGGCGAGTACTGATGACGCTGATTGCGCAAGTTTCCTTAGGCGTTTAGGTTCCGATTTATTGCTCGCGGAGGGATTAAAGGCCCGGAGTTTGCCCTACACTAAGGCTGTGCAGTACCGAATGTTGTGCACAAGAGGCTGTGAGCGCGAAACGACAGTGGGTAGCCTAGTGAATAGAGAAGAAGGCTTAATGTCTACAAACCCTAGGCGGTGGCATGCTCGGAATAACAAGCCACTAGCCATCCCCTGCGCTCCCGGAAGCGTGCGGTCCGGGTATCGTGGCACAATCCGATGCGCAAGCAGTCCGGAGCAGCGGATGTGCTGATGGGACGAATGCTGAGCGCGGGCTTAGCTGTTTTGTATGGTTTCTATGCAGTAGCTAGGCTAGAGACAGACTAAGAGGCTAATACTTAGGTACACACTAGTTGGATGACTTTGAGCTCCGCTTAGTGCTTGACTACATAGGCGAATGCTAACGTTACCTCGGCCCAACGGGCCGTTTCCGCCGACGAGCCACTTGAACACCCATTTTCAACCGCAAATATCTCCACCACTATAAGCCCAACTGACGATGCAATTCTTGTGATTGAATTGCACCAGTCCGTGATTTTATATTTGTTTCACAATCTTTTAGATTAGTTTGGACTTAATAAAACAACGGCACTAAGGCATAGTTATCGCGACTCAGAGACCAAGCTGCACAACAGAAGCAGTTCCTCAACCCACAAAAAGAGGCAGAGATTGTGGAGTACACAGAAATATGCAATAGGTGCGGCTTATTATGTTCAAGGGGTATGAGAAAGAATTTTGCGTTGGCGGTTTCAAAATGGGATAGAGGAAACAGCTGGGTTAACTACGCGTCTTTTGCATCGCCAACATGATACTCTCATGCCCAAATAGACCCGCGCACGACATAATACTGACTCTGAAGAGAGATACGAGCAATATGTTAACCCATTGCATTCATAAATGCAGCAATACGACATTACGGCCGAAAATGTGTACAATATGGAGGCAAAAGCTGAGCATCAACGGGCCAAACCGTGCGCCGGACGGCCAGACAACAACGACGCAACCCTGCAACTTCACAAGGGTCTCACGAAACACCTAAAGATGGCTGGCGAGGGGCTTCACGCAAGCCCGCAGAAAGAAAACAAGGCGTCATGGTGCTATTGATGTTGAAAGTGGCGCGCCGCCGCACAATCAAGATATCACAAAAATGTAAATGTTACAAAATCTTTACAAGCTTTAATGGACTACATCTCCAACTAATATCGTAATAATACCCAATACTTGTTGTTGCGCAACCTCTATTTTCAAAATGCCAATATCTGGTTGGGCGATGGTGTGACCCAACTTCAACACCAAGTAACTTCACAACTACGGTTCTGATTGAGGATGTGATAGACACTATCAAACTACGCAAATCAGATGCTTCTTTTCCGTACCGCGCTGTCGCAAAATATATTCGAAGTTGACTGAACAACGTCGTTGCGAAGACACCAACATCTAAAGCTGCCTGGTGCAACATGGGTGCAACAACAGCAAGCACTCAACCCACAACAGGAGCACAAGCTCATGCTATACATAGAAAGACGTACTATCCGTGGCTTGCCATCTTCAAGAAGAATAATACAAAATCTTGCAGGGCCGATAGCGAGACGGAAGGTCTCAGAAAGTTAGCTGACTCGGTGTCTATATCGCCATGCCGGCAAGCTCACCATCAAACGGATTAAACGAAACGCCAGCATCGATCACGACAAGCGCAAGGTGGAATAAAGAGAAAGACACAAATCATATCTTCACATGCTCCACTGAAGAATGCAAGAGTACGGCGCGTCGAGGATCGACATACACGGAATGCGATTGAGAAAGGCTTTGCTATTTGCGTCTTCAAACACATAAAAAAAGTTTTCACAAAGATATCTAAGGCTCCAGGACAGCTTCAAGAGGCTATAAACGATGGCAACTGGGAGTGGATTAAACTTATTGCTTGCGTAGGCACTTCCGGTAAGGCATTGTCACCGGCGCTAATTTACAAAAGCAAAACTAAGTTCGATCGAGCTGAGTTGACGACGTAGAACCCGAAAAACGCCAAGTATTTTTTGCTAACTCCCCTTCAGAATTGTCAAATAATGACCTTGGATTGGCCTGGCTCGAACAGGTGTTTGATCGCCTCACGAAGGAGTAGGTAAGACGCCCATGGCGGCTCCTCATCCTTGATGGCCATGACAACCACCTTATGGCCGTTGTCATCAACTTGTGCGTTTCAAAGAAGCTCCTTTTGGCGGGGTTTTTTCATCACATGCAACTCGTACCCGCCAGCCGCTCAATGTCGCCCTGTTCTCGCCGCTTACTTCTAACTATTCTCGCCAGGTTATGCGTTAGATTCGAAAGTCACAAGCCCTGGTAAGCCTTCAAGAGAGTGACTTCTAGTGGATCTTTTGGGCAGCGTAGAGCAGGCATAAAATGGCTATGGATAGCATCAAGATGAGTTTTCTGACGACAGGCGTGTGGCCTATGGGTGCTGAGATAATCCTCGAACGCGTCGACAACAACAACACATTCAGTTGGGATGAGACTTCAAAAAACTTGGCAGCACGATAATAGAAATAGCTGAACCCCGATGCGAAAAGTTTATGATACTGCGGCTGCTGACGGGGCCAATGTTCAAGCCAAGCGGTTAGTGGGTTCATTACACTCTCTACAGGCGCAAAACGAGCTGCTTCTTCACGAAAACGACGGCGGAACGGAATAAAAAAACGAAGACCGAGAGGCTGAATCTACAATAATACAAGGAGTACCATGGCACTGCTGTTCTCTGGTGTCCCCGGAAGATTCGAGAAGCTCGTGCGCGCGAGGCAACGAAATAATAAGAAGCCAAGAAGCTACAGCTTCTAAAAAGAACCCGAGCAGGAGTAACTGAAGGCAGCCTCAATTATCTACAAAGAAAGCTGGTGGAGCAGGCAAAAGCTGAACGTTAACACGCAAAATAGGCTAGAAAAGTGATGGAGGTGGAGAAAACGTGTGTGAACTTGTTGTATTGGAGCTACGGGAGGAGGGAGGATATCTATGGTGCGCGCACGGAGCAGCTGACTAATCAGTGCCTGGCCAATCAGAGCACGGAAAGCCTGATTCACCGTGAATACTAGTGAAGGCTCTCACCGCGTCTCGACAGTTTACAAAAATGATGCTTTTCAACGAGGAATTGCTACTATCGCGAGATTATGTGGCTTTACAGTAATTAGGTCCATGCAATTTATCTGTACCGTTTATATTTTAGCAGCGCCTTGAGTGAGCGTTAGCGCCTTGTGTTGACACGTGTCAGATAGCAGGGTTACTCGACGTTGGCAGCAACCAATCAGCGTAGAGAGGGTCAGTGCGCCCCTCAAGAGGGCCACAAGCGCGGACATACGATAGACAGAACACAATACAGACAATCATCAACATCCATCACTTTTGTGCAATATCTCATTATATCTGACAACACGGCAAAGGTGTCAAATATCACTGTCGTTGCAACGAACAAAGTATATGATATTTGATTAGTTAGTTGAGCAAGAGCTGGGTGGAGAGATCTCCATATGTACGGGTGCGAGCTAAGCGGGAAGCTTGGTTCAACTAGTGGTCCAAGCTCCCAGCCCGGAAAAGCTCGCCATCTGGCCGTACGCGCATGTCCCAACACTGCCTCTATATGAGTATTATAGGTGTATCGCTCGCATATCTTAGTCGTTTAGTTCTTAATACATGCAAGTGATTTCTTTACACTTACTTGTTATATCCTAATGTTATAGACGGAGTCACCAACGATATTAAAAATGGCTTCTTATGTTGGTAGGCCTTGTACGATCGTACGGGGTGAATAACAACAACGAGGTTCTTCTGGTGACTGGTATTGGTATTGATTCTCTACGAACATACGTGCTACGAAGGTATACCTAAGCTCAGCGCAAGTTGGGCCGAAGTCGGGCCGAAGTGTCAAGCAGCCGACGTCTCTACCGATACTCACGATCCGACATCTTAACTATTTGCTCCGCCGGATTATATCGACGAAGCAGCATATTTGGAACTAGATGCTATGATTTAGGCAATTACCCAAAGCTTAAGGACTAGCTTAGAAAAAAGGACGGCATCGCTGCACATCTTTGGCGTTGGCAAAGGCGGTTGATGATCTAGCGTGGTAGATCGAGAAGAAAGTCCAAATCCTCAATTCTACAGGTTAGACTGTTAGATATACGGGATCCTTTGTTCCATCCGGTTGATTAGATATATGTCAGACTATCGACTACATATACCTTCAAGCTACAATAGCAAGAAAGTTGGCCTTTTTGTTATCCGACAATATATTGCTGAACTGTAGAGCATTGCAAACGTCCCAAGTTATCTGTAACGGTGTGAGGAGAGGAGGAGGACTGCGTTGCATTGTGTAGCTATGGAGGAACTGCAGCTATATAGGTGTGTGTGATGAGAAAGTGTGGTAGCGATAGCCGTACCCAACTCTCACCCAAGTCGGTCTTGGCAAGTCGCAAACCGTTACATTATCTTATGATGCTAGCAGCTACACTAAAAGTTAGTTACGTGTCGCTTTTCGTTTCGCTGCGAAACTCCATCAACAGGTACGCTTCTATTTTGCGGAAAACTAATTGCTAAATCTTCTCGGCTGGAATAAAGGCGGTTTCGCAGTCGAGAAAGACAGTTCTCTATTTGAGAGTTTTTCCGTGACATTATCCCCAAAAAGGAGCCTCTTTAGCCCGATATGCTCTGACACTCCTTAAGTTGGTCAACATAGCCGCGACAGGACGGATCCTAGCATTATTCTTCATACCTCCGGCTTTGTTGGTATGTGGTTCGTTGCTGGGATTGATCTCTCAGCGTCACGCTAACAAGCCCGACCCCTGTTTTGTAGATTCAAAACATCTATTTTACCGAACACGACGCTTTTTCCGGCTCCATTTTGAAAACTCTGTTTTCTTAAGTTTCGGGCGGAAAATTCAATCGCGTGACCAAAGGCTCGAATACGTGACTAAAAACTAACGTTTTACCGAACAGCTCCTCTGCCTTAAATCTCAATCTGATTTACCGAGCCGACACGCTAACCACTAGCCGCTAACCAAAAACAGCCTTAAAAACAGAGTCCGAGACGGAAATGGAGCAACCGAACAGATCCCTACTAGATTTTACAAAGCTTTGAAATTAGACAAGCGGTGAATGGGGCATATAAAGAGAGGGAAGCGTCTGGAATTGTTAATCCTTTCCACTTGATTTATCGCATTTGGCGAGGTCAGGCCTACATCCAAACTTGAGGGGCTATCCTTCAGCGACACCGAATTGTAACCTTTACACGTATATAACAGCAGAGGTGCATACCACCAGGGACAGCGCTTTTGAGTCATTACTTAGAGTTTGCTTCGTACCTGCCTCGTTAACAGAGTAAATTGCTCCGACGGAGTTTCCATCAGGGATCAGGCTCATCGCGAAGCTACGGAATACAAAAGAGGAACATTGGCATGCTTTAATAACATCACTTTGGCATGGACCTCTTCACACGCCACGAAGCTCATCATGAGGTCGAGGCAAGCCGATACTGGGCCCTCGGATACTACTTTGAAAATCTAAGCAACGAGCAGCTGCATCGGCAGCGCAGGTATCTTGACTTGTATGGTTTTGCTGCGGAATGGTCGGTGTGGGTCATCTTTGTGCTGTTCCAGGTTGGCTTCGCGTTTTTGTGGGTGATGAAGAACACTTTAAGGCATAAACAACCAAAATCGCCCTCATTCACAAAAGACCAAAAGAGTAGATTAGGGTGGCTAAGACAAATATATGGCGGTTACACCAAGACTACGTGGTGGATGCAGAAAGATGTCATCAAAGGCTGGAATTGGGGTACAAGAGGAGAATGGATTGGTGCAGTCGCTTGGACAATGTGGTTGCTGTATCTGTGTATCGCCAACACTGGAAAAGGTATGTGCTTGTACCTATTCGTCAACGACGTTTCTTTGTATGACTGAAACTTTGTAGACTACCTTCACTTGACGAAGCGCTTCGGACGAATTGGCGCATCCCAGCTGCCAATCCACTACCTGCTAGCTATGCGAGCACATTACAGCCCGATTCAGTATTTGACACGACTCTCTCATGAACAGATCAAGGCTTCGCATCAGATCCTAGGACGCATCGTTTTCCTTCTGCTTGTGTTACACGCAGCTTTTTACCTTAACTTTTTCATCATGTCCGGCCTGCTTCAAAGCGCATCAAGAACTGGGACGTCATCTGGGGCCTTATCAGCATCATCCTTTTTTCTGCCATCAGCACCACAGC